TAAAACCACAGAAAAAATTGTTTATACTCGTTAAAAGATAAAATAATTACTGGCGATTTTAAACCATAAAAGTGGAACTTGCAAGTTTTGTAATGTTAATAGTAACGACGGAATAAGAAAGGATCAAATTGACCATGAAATAATAAAATGTTAAATTGAAATTTTTGAAAGATAAAATACCAAATTAAACATAAAATATAAGATGAAAGGACTAGTAGAATTTAATCTTTATTTTTTGGAAGTGAATAGGATATAAGCAAAGCTGTCATTCCGCATTGCATGTATCTCACAATGCTAGAAGGCTAAGATTCCGCCATATTGTGGCATATAACGCTGCTACCATTTAGCAGCATTGATTTGAAGTTGATTTTATTTAGTATTTCTGAAAATTAGAGGTGTCAAACAAAGTTCGATATAAATAGTTATCAAGTTCCATTTTGTTCTAAGCTTAATAGTATGTCTTAAAGCACGTTTCCTCCCCCTTGTACATGTGTAACATAGAAGCAAGAAACCACTGCTTCCGTGTCTTTCTCTAAAACTGCTGCAATTTCACACATCAATAGCCTACAGCAAAGCACAGGCCGTAAGTTAACAGTTATATTTTTTATGAAAAGTATCAAATTTCTTCTAATGGCTATACTTGTTTTATTTGTTGTTTGACAGATATATGTATCAATGGAGGGAATTGATGAGAATAAGATTGAATCTGAGTTTAAGTCAATTTCATTTGATGTTAAGTTCCATGATGTTCAAGGGAAGAATTACCGTTGTGCAATATCGAAACTGCATAAGGAGATAGTACCGGAGAAATGTAAGGTTCTGGTCAAGCCCAAAAGGGCAATCATCACATTAGTGAAGGCTTCCAAAGGAAACTGGCTAGATTTGCACTTCAAAGAGGACAAGGTAGTAAGATAAGATTAAAATGACTTTTCCCTGTTAATCAACGTGATAAAGTTGTAACTTTCGTGGTGATGTTACAGCTAAAGCCAAATTTGGATAAAGAGAAAGACCCAATGGCAGGAATCATGGACATGATGAAGGTCAGATTCTGTTTCATCTTTAGTTGGCTTTAGCTACTTTGTTTGAACTTAATGCTTATATGCATTTACCATTGGGAACATTCAATTTGACTTTTGATATACATGTAATATTGCAGAATATGTATGACGAAGGGGACGATGAGATGAAGAAAACAATTGCAAAAGCATGGACTGATGCTAGATCTGGGAAAACAGCTGACCCTTTAGGTAGCTACCGTTGAGCGTCAAACAGAGATTCAGATTCTTAGTTCCTGTTTCTTGAGAATGATCTGCTCTATTGAATTACAAGATTTTGTTATAAAAAGAATGCTAGGCCCATGGTCATGGTACTTGTAGAAGTTTAGATGTGCAGTTAAGTGTTACCGAAGTTCTACCTTTTCATATAATGATATGGTTGTGGTCTGATGTTGCTCCAATATTTGCTTTTTGTGACTCACTTCATTCAGTGAGTTTTTCTTTCAATTACTTTTTTCTTTATTTACTATTATCAAAGTCAAGGTTTTTCTTAAAATGATAGTATGTTATAAACTTGGTGATTAAAATTTATTTTGGAATTATGTAATTGATATTTTTTATTTTATTATAAAATTAGGTTAATGACACAAATTTCATAAAAAGAAAGATGATTCCAAAATTCAATATAATTGAAATATAGATTAAAATCCTTTTAATGTAAGTCAAATATGAAAACTTGAATAAAAATTATATTAAGAGGTCTTTTAATAGGACTAATAAGAACATTGTGTTGATTTAAAATAACTATATATATATATATATATATATATATATATATATATATATTAAATAATATTTATGTGAAATAGATCTTTAAAATATAAGTTTAAGAAAATATTATTTATTACAATTAAAATATTAATGTAATTAAATTTGATAATTTTGAAAATAAATTAAGATGAAATTTGCACTAAAATATAAATTTTAAAAAGTGATTTTTTTTAATTTTCTAGGTTTAAAAAAAATGGAAGTTTTTATTTTTTATTTATGTAATTAATATTTATCTTTTGAAAAATCAAATTTGTTGATGTTTTTATGGAACCGAATGTATTATCAAAGTCGTTTTTTATTTTCACAAACATTCCATTATTATCGGTATTTATCCTCCAAGTTTCTAATACCAGTGTAATTTTTGTAAAAATTGTTCTGACACTAAAGTTAATATTTGACCATAGATTTTGGTTAAATTTGAATTAAATGTGAAAAAAAAGTTAAATTACGATTAAAATATTATTTATAGATGTATTTTGTTGACCATTTTAAATGAGTTATAATTTAGATATATTGGCTTAGAAGTCCAATGACCAACTTGTCTATGAGAAACTGAAATGATTTTTGGCTAAGTTACTCTGTGAGACTGTGTTTTCAGTAGGTATAAGGAGGTACGAATAAGTGATATCTTAATTTAATGAATGACGTTATTATCAAAGTAGATGTAGTCTTTGGTGTAGGAAACATAGTACTCGATACCTTTTATCTATTATTTGGTGTTCGGTTAAGCGATCCATTCATAGAGCATCCAATAGTTGTCTTATTGGCTACATTCTACTTGACACTAGATACACAGTAAATGGTATCATGTCATTGTCTTAAGTAACTAGAAGGATGCAGTTAGCAATATCAATGGGTCTACATACAGTACATCAACTCCCTAGTCTTTTCATGTCTTGAAGGCATAAAAAGAGTGTCAATGTCTAGTTTGAAGTTGAAGTAAGGTGTCGAGGTTCGATAGTCAGAACGTCTGATTTTGCAAAACAAATTTATTATCTTTAACCATAACCTTACGTGTATTGTAGGCCCCAACCTCATGGAATGTAACAGTGAAAATGTTTGAATGATGAGTTGTCAAATCTGGGGAGATGTACTTGATGGTAATAAGTGTGGCACAAAAATCAAAGTAATGACTTGGCAAGAGTTGTGAATGTTCAAGAAGTAATTGTTACCTTAGAAGGGAAAAAACATTACTGAATCCGGAGGGTTGTCTTCAACAAAATGTTTTATAGGCGTATTTGTGAAGGGTTTGGCCCATTAGGTCTGAAGGCGAACCATCACCACTGTTATAAATAAGAGTGGGGTTGGCCATTGTTCAACACTAAGTCACTTGAACTGGTTGTTGTTGGTCACGATTATATGAGAGGAGTGTTGTTGTTGAAGTGTATACTAGTTATCTTATCACATAAGGTGTGTCAAAATCTGATAGTGGTAATAATGTCGATAGTTAGGTGTTAGTGTCGTCAGATGCCACATCCTCCTAAGTTTTGGGAGAAGACATAGGGATAACAGAGAAAATAGATTTGACCCTTTAGAGGATCGTGTTAAGATCGAGTGGAAACTTAAGGATGAGTATGACTAGGTGGACATTGTAAACATAGTTCTCAAACTATAGGTTGGTCTGGTTATTGAAGTTGTGGTTGGAAAGGATTTACATATTCCATCATGGAGTGTCATAAGATATTGTTTCTTTGAAGAGGGTAAATGCCATCGACTATGATTGTCATGGAAAAGAGAGCTATGATGACGATTTCTTCTATGTGTACATGAATCTCTTCACCCAACTTCATGTTCAATTGTTGTTTGATAAGCTCACAATAGGTGTTCTTTGTCTTTTAAACGTGACTCTAACATAATTTCACCCAATAGATGAGGGTGCATCCAAGCTTTCAAGTTACTTTGTAAATCCTTGTACTTGACTCTCCTCCCGAATGTTTTTTATATTTTTACTATTAAGATAGGATTGTCTAAGAAAATCTTCTTTTGAAGCTTAACATAACGTCTAAAATGAAATAATGCTTAATCGTCTAGGATAATATNTATATATTAAATAATATTTATGTGAAATAGATCTTTAAAATATAAGTTTAAGAAAATATTATTTATTACAATTAAAATATTAATGTAATTAAATTTGATAATTTTGAAAATAAATTAAGATGAAATTTGCACTAAAATATAAATTTTAAAAAGTGATTTTTTTTAATTTTCTAGGTTTAAAAAAAATGGAAGTTTTTATTTTTTATTTATGTAATTAATATTTATCTTTTGAAAAATCAAATTTGTTGATGTTTTTATGGAACCGAATGTATTATCAAAGTCGTTTTTTATTTTCACAAACATTCCATTATTATCGGTATTTATCCTCCAAGTTTCTAATACCAGTGTAATTTTTGTAAAAATTGTTCTGACACTAAAGTTAATATTTGACCATAGATTTTGGTTAAATTTGAATTAAATGTGAAAAAAAAGTTAAATTACGATTAAAATATTATTTATAGATGTATTTTGTTGACCATTTTAAATGAGTTATAATTTAGATATATTGGCTTAGAAGTCCAATGACCAACTTGTCTATGAGAAACTGAAATGATTTTTGGCTAAGTTACTCTGTGAGACTGTGTTTTCAGTAGGTATAAGGAGGTACGAATAAGTGATATCTTAATTTAATGAATGACGTTATTATCAAAGTAGATGTAGTCTTTGGTGTAGGAAACATAGTACTCGATACCTTTTATCTATTATTTGGTGTTCGGTTAAGCGATCCATTCATAGAGCATCCAATAGTTGTCTTATTGGCTACATTCTACTTGACACTAGATACACAGTAAATGGTATCATGTCATTGTCTTAAGTAACTAGAAGGATGCAGTTAGCAATATCAATGGGTCTACATACAGTACATCAACTCCCTAGTCTTTTCATGTCTTGAAGGCATAAAAAGAGTGTCAATGTCTAGTTTGAAGTTGAAGTAAGGTGTCGAGGTTCGATAGTCAGAACGTCTGATTTTGCAAAACAAATTTATTATCTTTAACCATAACCTTACGTGTATTGTAGGCCCCAACCTCATGGAATGTAACAGTGAAAATGTTTGAATGATGAGTTGTCAAATCTGGGGAGATGTACTTGATGGTAATAAGTGTGGCACAAAAATCAAAGTAATGACTTGGCAAGAGTTGTGAATGTTCAAGAAGTAATTGTTACCTTAGAAGGGAAAAAACATTACTGAATCCGGAGGGTTGTCTTCAACAAAATGTTTTATAGGCGTATTTGTGAAGGGTTTGGCCCATTAGGTCTGAAGGCGAACCATCACCACTGTTATAAATAAGAGTGGGGTTGGCCATTGTTCAACACTAAGTCACTTGAACTGGTTGTTGTTGGTCACGATTATATGAGAGGAGTGTTGTTGTTGAAGTGTATACTAGTTATCTTATCACATAAGGTGTGTCAAAATCTGATAGTGGTAATAATGTCGATAGTTAGGTGTTAGTGTCGTCAGATGCCACATCCTCCTAAGTTTTGGGAGAAGACATAGGGATAACAGAGAAAATAGATTTGACCCTTTAGAGGATCGTGTTAAGATCGAGTGGAAACTTAAGGATGAGTATGACTAGGTGGACATTGTAAACATAGTTCTCAAACTATAGGTTGGTCTGGTTATTGAAGTTGTGGTTGGAAAGGATTTACATATTCCATCATGGAGTGTCATAAGATATTGTTTCTTTGAAGAGGGTAAATGCCATCGACTATGATTGTCATGGAAAAGAGAGCTATGATGACGATTTCTTCTATGTGTACATGAATCTCTTCTCCCAACTTCATGTTCAATTGTTGTTTGATAAGCTCACAATGGGTGTTCTTCGTCTTTTAAACGTGACTCTAACATAATTTCACCCAATAGATGAGGGTGCATCCAAGCTTTCAAGTTACTTTGTAAATCCTTGTACTTGACTCTCCTCCCGAATGTTTTTTATATTTTTACTATTAAGATAGGATTGTCTAAGAAAATCTTCTTTTGAAGCTTAACATAACGTCTAAAATGAAATAATGCTTAATCGTCTAGGATAATATGTTAGAAGCGTTAAACACTACTATTTAATATGCCTAAATGATCTAGAGCATCGAATAGCTAAGAGCGACTAACATTTGCCTAATATGCGCTAAACGATATAGAGTTGATAATATAATGTCTAATTGCGAAAGCGTTGATAAAAGAAAGTTTGATTGTCTAGGATACAATCTCATTAAACGCTATATCCTAAACGTTTTGAAAGTTACTCAAAATAGATAAGAGCTAAAAGCTAGTACTATTGCCATGCTTAAACACTTAGGTCATCTAACACTTTAATGCATATATGTTCAAGTATTCTTTTTTCTATTGGGTTGTGCTTTTTTTTCCTATGTAGATTATCAATTTTATCAAAGAGCTTGCTTAGAATCATAATAACGTTATTAGATAGGAGGATTTTCAAGGAATGTTTCTTACATGCTTTATGCCTGGTCTTTTTGTACACTCAACATAATTGTTCTATCAAGACGTAATATAGCTTCTGATCCTACCTTAAAGACTACATTCGTAGAAGAAAGTCAAAAACTCTACGGATATTTTTCGAAGAA